TTTCTTTTTGTTTTATTCAGGATTTCATGTTTTTTGAAAAAACTGGAAACGAGGAACAAAGAGCAGGAGTATGGTAGAAGTTTCTTGAGATTCCTCAAGAGATTGAAGGACTACATTCTGATGGATACTATCTAAAAGGAACATACATGGCTTTTTGTCTTTTCTGAAATAACTGTATCAATTAACCTATGATGCCTATACCTCCCGTTGTACAATTGTGCTTTCAAATTATAATTTATTTTCTATACTTCTGTCATATATTTGGTTTTATACATTCTTAAAGTGTTCACTGTGAATTAGTGCATTTTTACACATAGAAATGAGCTTGTCAAAGAAAAATGCTTCGGCTCACAATCTTTGATTCATTTTTCATTTTATAAAAATTTAAATGTTATTGTAATTTAATATGAAATTACATATTAAATGTAATTATAACTTACGCAAAAGACCTGATGTTTTTATAAATACTATCCATTTAAAAACCTTTAAAAAATGTTCCCGTTTCCTTTACCTTAGGGTTAACTACTACTCAACATAGTCATTAGTAAGAAAACAGTAAGTATGCTTTCTTTCTCCCTTTAGAAAATCAGTATAGTTATGTAAATCTGCTTCTATACTTTTCATACCAATAATACATTTATAACATAATAATGTATTATAATATAATAATACCATGTATATGTATATACATACATATATGTGCTTTGGGGGACAAGGTCTCATGATGTACCCTGGCTAGCCTGGAATTTGCTATATAGATCAGGCTCTTTGAACTCACAGAGATTCTCCTGCCTCTGCCTCCTGAGTGCTGGGATTAAAGGCTTGTGCCAGCATACCCCACCTGATAAAACTGTTATTGGCAACTTTTAAGTGGCTTCCAGTGAATAAAGGTGATAGGTTTTTTGATTACCTGCCCCCCACCCCTATAGTAGGTTTCTCCACTGATGCAGTAAGCCAGAGTAAGCCAAATTAAAAAGACCAGGTTTATTGGGCCAAGCGCTCTAGGGTAACTTTCCAGCTGCCCAGAGGTGAGGCTGGTGGGTGGTGGGGGAGAGAGAAACCACCTGGCAGGTCTGGAGGCATGGGTTTAAATACCCTGTAGACAGTCTCTTGAGCTTCAGGGGAGGAGCCTGGACTTTTGGGAGTCTTTCTGAGGGGGCAGGGTTTGGAGAGGGACGAGTGCGGCCGACATGGAGTTTCCAGCCAAACAAAAGGAAGTCACAGGGTTTTTGCCAAAGGAAGACTCATTTTAAGGACTCAAAAATTTTACATTGGCACAGTGTTGAAACTATTTTCTCATGAACTGTTTAGCTCCTGTATTCTAATATTTCTAGAATAATTGTTTACTGCTCAGATGTTAAGTAAATGGAACATATATAAACCTCAACAATTATTGACTACAACAACAGTCAAAGACCCCAAATAAAAATTTACAGATCTGTTTTTAGCTTGTTTATGTTAGGTCCAAAGTGCTCCCCACCACCCCAAATGGCAGTGCTGTTGGCAATGTTCTAAATGACAGTCTGGACTCAGCTATGGCTGGACTCTGACCAGGTAAACAGCAGTAGTGCTTGCTAGTGGATACTCAAAAACCTAAAGGCCCATTCCTTAGAAATCTTGTGACAGGCAAGCATTTTGCTTGACCGGAAAAGCAATCACTTGATTACTTCCCTTATCCACCCCCTCAATGGTCATGCAGTTCCTGATTAACCCAAAGGAGCCTGCAAGTGATCAAAGTCCCCATCCAGTTTCTAGACTGTTAGGATTCCCTTGCCCCTCTGCCCTGCTCTAACTCCCAGCCAGTTCTGGGGCTCATACCTCCCCCTGCTACTATTCCTGTCTTCAAACTGGCAAGGCTCTTTCTGCCATTTGCTGTTTTAATCACCCCGAGACAGATACAGCAGTTCAATACTTAAATAAAGCTTCTTTTCCCTACCCACAGAGTGATCTAGTTGCACAGTTTCATTACACCCTAGTTTAAAGTTTTCCTCACCTCTGAGATGTTGAAGGTGAAACCCAGGGCTTCTACCAGTTCACTATATCCTTGGCTATGGCTTTCTTTTTTTTCAAATGAAACGTAGTCTATCAGTCTAGTGAAGGGCACAACTTACTCTTGAAGGAGTAACATCTGTCCCATGGCTACAGACCAGTGTTATAGTCTAGAGGTCTTGATGGGGTTTATTTCCTATGCCCGTTGAAGAACAGGCAGGAAAAATCCCAAGCTTGACAGGTAGCCAAGGAGAAAGCTCAAACACAGCAGGCAGAATCAGCATGTGAAGAAAGGCTGTTATTGGGAGTGAGGAAAATGTTGTATCCAGAGTCCCCCAAAGACCATCAAGAGACCAACTCTGATGCAAAAGCAAAGAGTTTTTTTTTGTTTTGTTTTTGTTTTTTTTTTACTGTTGTGAGTTAACCTGGGCCTCTCTGTCCCTCGGATGCAGCAGCAGAGCAGGAGAGACTTGAGTAGCAAGGGGCAGGATTTTTATAGAGAGCAAAGTAAGGGGTGGTCTTGAGGTCTACAGACTATATAGAAACAGACTCAGGATTGGTTTATGCGAGTGGCAATCAAAAGTTAGTAACTTTTAATTGGCTAGGGTTAGTTGGGTGTTACAGTTGTCTTTTTTGGGGCAGGTCTGGACAAGTCCCAGGCTTTGTCCTTCAGCTGCCATGGAGGCTTGCTGGCCTAGCACATGCTGACTCCAGGGGCTAGCCCAGTGGCCCAGGCTTGGTGCATCCTATCTTCCTGTCCCTGCTAGCAGGGGCATCAGTGGTGAATTGATTTGGTTCATGACCCTCTCAGAAACTGCTTGCTCAGTCTCAGGGAACTGAAATTGAGGCCTGGTGTCTGAGAGAAGACTGAGCAGCCTGTGATGGCATCTGCTTGGTCCTTTCAGAAAACACAGGTGGAGGCAGACACGGGGAGGAAAAGACCTACCAAAATGCGAGCGGGGTGGGGTGCTCAGGAAGCCAAAAATCCACTCCCAGGGGCTGCTTCCCCCCCTCCCCCATAATTTAGGGTTTGTCAGTTTGAAGAAAGACAGGACTGATTGGCCCATGGGGCTGTGTAAACAAGTCCTGTAGAACCCTGGAACTTGGTGAGCAAATTCATCAGCAGGGGGCCTAGGGACAGTGTTAAGCTCATCATCCACCACCACAATTTAAAGCCAAATTCGAAGCAAGCTTTAATTAAATAGTGGCTGGGTAGATGGGCTCTGGCCTGGTCCATCTCTGGTTTTCCAGAAAAATGACCCAAAGTTACGGTTTGCAGCGGCTTAAGTATTTCCCATCAGGTCGAATCAGGGGCAAGCATACATCCTGACGTACTTCCTGCCCGTGAACCTCCTGCCCACGTGCAATCAAGCACAGTCAGTACAGAAGGGTCAAACAAACTTGTTTAGGGAAGTAGAAACGTGGTTTGTTCTCTCCCATAAACAATCGTCTCCAGCACTTCAGGAACCAGCTGTCCCTGGGCAAGGGGCTTGCAGATCAGAGGTATTTTTGTTTCATGGATCTCTAAGGTGCAGTAATTAAAACTTAAAATGTAACTTTGGCTCTCACAATAAAAGACAAAGGCCACCAGGCCCCTTTTTTAGGTTGCCAGGTTTTTGCCTTGGGTCAGGAATGTGAGGAAGAAAAAAGCCCTTTGGAAGTTTGCCACCTTTATTTTGCAGCCATGGCCTTGTTCCCTCTCTGTCTGCCTATCAGGGATTCTAACTACTAGTCCCTCTCCAGAATTTTTATTTGTTAAGAAGCTAAAAGAATTCTGTAGTCATTTTGTGGGGCGGAGTGAAGGGAGATAGGAAAAAACAGGCCACAATTACTTTGTGTAAAAGAAAAACAGACTTAGGAAATAAGGTCTGTGATGGCTAACTAAGTTTAGACTTACTATGGTTGAAAGACTGAAGAAGTTAAAAAAAAAAAAAAAAAAGAAAATGCCTCATAAGGTTAAGTACCTGGCTTGTACCGGCTGTACCCTAGCAGCCCCCCCCCCCCAACACACACACCCCTGCAGATGTTGAAGACTGTTCTTAAGTGGACTGATCTTGTAAAATTTGGTGTTCTAGCAAGATAGTAGGTCATAGGTAAATAAAAAGAGAAATGAAAAAGAAAGGTCATGACTGTTCCTAGGTATGTTGAAGAAGGTTTATTGTAGCTAAGAGGGAGAGCATAAGCCAGAGGCAGAGACATCTGGCAGAGGCCATATCCAACAGGGCTAGAAAGAGCTGGGCCAGGTGAGGGGGACTGAGGGGGACGGGGAGGGTAAAGGGGCTGCCAACCAGGAGGGGCAGTCTGGGCTAAGAAACTGGCCAAAAGGGTAAAAGGTAGAACACCAAAAAAAAAAAAAAAAAAAAAAAAGCCAGCTAACCAAAACGGTTGGATTATATAGGAAGGGGCAGTTGTGGGAAGGGCAGCTGGGCTCCCCGGCTGGAGAAGTTTTAGGGTTGTGGGCTGGGTATGCCATCCATACCCTGAGGGCAGAAGAGAGAACCTGGTGGCCAGCATCTGCTTTGATATGTTAGTTAAACTTTTGTCCTGTGTTTGAGACCTAAAAATAACACCAACTGCTATTTTCTGCTCTTGGAATCAGACTTGCCTACTCTGCTCAAAGACTAGGACAACTGCAAGACATATATGTTAAAATTAGACTCTGCCTACAAGGAGACAAAATACATTTAATCTTGTGGCTCTGGACTTTAAAAGCCCTGGGCTGATTATGATTAGAAGCTGCAGACCTGTTGCCAGGAGTAGCCAGGGCCAGTATTTAACAAATCCTCCTCTTATTAAAATTTATTCATGGTCATGGCGAATCTCTGAGCGACTCCAGACCCAGGGCAAGTCATGAGGAGACTCTTATCTCAGAGAAAGCTATTTATCCGGATGTGAACAACAGCTGTCTCATGATTTTGACAAAAACACCATAAAGAAAAATAGCACTGGCTGGTCATGGTGGCGCCTACCAGTATTCTGTAGGAGTAGTAGGGGATTTGAGGACCATCGGCATAAATCCTCAGACTCTCCCATCCCCAAACAAACAACCCAAGAAGAGCAAATCTAAACAAAAAAGAAACGAAAACATTCTTGAGTCCCAGAGTCTGAAGAATGCCGTGGAGGTCAGAGTAAAGGAAATTCCCATGAGTTTGGAGCTGGGGGGGGGCGGGGGGTGGGGGCGGGCAGGAAGGGCCGAGAGCTCAGCTCGCTGTTTGGCTGGGCTTCACCTTGGGTGCGGGGGGCGTACCCCTCCGGAAGGGATTGAAATCTTTTTATATGCAAAACGCAAAACTCTGGAAAGGAAACCTGAGCCACGAGGTCACTTGACGGTGCTCTTCTCCCTCCCTAACTGTAGTGGCGGCGTGTGGCACCTGTCCTTTTCACAGAGGGGTCTGGAGAGCAGAGCCAGTGCTGGTTCCAGGATTCGCTGCTCAACAACGGTAAGCCAGCTGCCCTGGCTGTCTCAAGAGGATCTGTGGCCCTCGCAGGACACAGAAAACACAGAAGCCCTAGAAAGAGGACTCTGAGGGTGGAGATGTGGGCTGGAAGTTGGGAAAAGTGTCCTAGACGGCTGGAAAATGGAGGTGGGCATAGGGGCAAGGAAGAGGCTCTGGCTGGCGAGGTAAAAACGTAGCTCAGTAAGGTCTGCCCGCAGGTGGGTAGGGGTTTAGGGTTATTTTTCATGCGCCTTTTAGCAAGGAGACAGTTCTCCCATTCTCTAGCGTGTCTTTAGAGGGGTCTTTTGTCTTTCCATTTCGGTCTTTAGGTTGTAAATAAGATTTCATGTTTAATTCGGGGAAGGGCCCTGTCACAATGGAGGTCATCAGCCTTGTCCTGACATCTGTCTACATTTGTAAAAAATCTTAACTGTAGAGACAAAAGGCCAAAATAAAAACACTCCCCTCAACCCGAATAATTAGAATTAGTCCTTGACTACTAGTAGCAGGACCTGGTACTTGTGAGAGCACACACAAACATTAGAGATTAACTTCTAATGGCCCAGACAGCTCACCTCCAAGGGCCACCCTCAAGAAGGACAGTTAGTGCTATAAAACATATTACTTAACAAGATGATGGAGTACGCACAGTTGAAACGCACAGAGCGAGCATGTTAACACCAAGTAACTTTTTTTTTTTCTCAAGACAGGGTTTCTCTGTGAAACAGTCCTAGCTGTCCTAAAACTCACTCTGTAGCCCAGGCTGGCCTTGACCTCAGAGATCCGCCTGCCTCTCTCTGTCTCCTCCTGCGCCACTGCCACCACCCCCTAACTGTTCTTATCTGTTTCAGACACCCATTCCCTCTCAGGAGGGTCATTCTCTGTGAGAATCTACTTGCTTCTGTCTCTCTTGAAGCAGATGTTATTAAACTTCTTAAATATATCAATTCTGGTCTGGTGACTGCTTCTACCTCCTGCTCTGCTTGCCATTAACCCGGCCAGAGTATACGGTTTGTACAGGGTTTTTTCAGACATTCCACATGCCATTTGTGATACAAGATGCCAAGATACAGATGTTCATATGTCATAAATAATGCCTAGGAAGTAGTAGATGGCTTTTTTCTGCTCATTTTTCTCTTCATGCCTAGCACATACCACAAACCGATACCACATCCTGCTTGAAAAGATCCCATCAGGCCCCAGTTCAATTTAGTAATACTGCTTCACAGTTCAGTGGAACTCTGAATCAAGGCCAGCATGGAGGTGTATCAGAGGAACAAGTCACAAATCCCGCTAGCTATTGAACAGTAAATATTAATGGAACCCACACTGTGCTTGGCAGTCTAGAATGCCAGATGCACAGGAAATGCACAGAGGTAGAAAGGAGTGGGTGGATTAGCTCACTAGCTTTCCACTCAGGCTTTCTCAATGTGACCCTCTCTCCACTGCTTCCTATCTCCAGACCCTGAATTTCTTCAGGTATACCCCTGTCAGCTTGTTGTAGAAATTGTGGAACTAGTACAGCAGACCTAAAGGATTAAACTGATTTTACACCAGTTGTTGTGGAATATTATTTTAAGGTGTGTTCCTTTTGTTTATATTGCATTTGTTTAACTCGGTGAAGCTGTGTTACTGTGCCTGTCTAACACACCTGATGGGCTAATAAAGAGCTGAACAGACAATAGCGAGGCAGGAGAAAAGGATAGGTGGGGCTGGCAGGCAGAAAGAATTAATAGAAAGAGAAATCTGGGAGGAGGGGTAGAAGGAAGTAGCCAGAGAAGGAGGAAGACCCAGGGGCCAGCCACCCAGGGGCCAGCCACCCAGCTACACAGCCAGCAACAGGGTAAGAAAGAAAAGTATACAAAAACAGAGAAAGGTAAAAGCCCAGAGGCAAAAGATGGACAGGAGAATTTAAAGTTAAGAAAAGCCGGCAAGAAACAAGCTAAGGCCAAGCATTTTTAATTGAGAATAAGCCTCCGAGTATGATGTATTTGGGAACCCAGTGGCAGCCCCCCCTCCAAGAGAGCAAAAACAACAATCGACTTAAAATATAAGTTGTTAGAATAGATGCTACCACTTCATAAAGGACTGAGTGAGAGTTGGCTTTTATTATATAAATATTTAAATACTTAAATAGGAAATGTTTGTGTAACTGCATGTGTGTGCCCATTTGTCCTGGCTGATATATAACCTACATTCAAAGTTTATGAATAAAAGTCTCTAAGATGCTATCTACAATTGTTCCTAAGCATATTTGCTTCATCTTAGAATGTGAAAGTGGATTGTGTTAGAAAGTTTTACTTTTTTAAAGCATACATTGCATTTAGCCAGATTTCTCCATTACAGCACTTCTAGCTTGTACCATGTTCCCAAGGCATCTTCTAGCCCAAATTTGAGCAAACACAACTATTCTGGCTCCATAGGACAGTCACCCAAACCACATTTGAACAGCTCAAGTGTGTGTCTTTTTAGATATTAACCTTTCAAATGCACAAACTGTATCTACAAACATTGCCAGGAGTGCATGAACATTATTTGACTTGCAACTTATTTTCATTAATTTTGCCTTAATCTCTGACCTACTGTCTCCTCGTTCCCTCAATATAGTGTCTCATTTTCACTTACTGGTGGGACATTAGAGACTTAGCATTCTGGCGATGGCCTCCGGAACAGAAGAGGGTGTTGGCAAAGTAAGCTGTAATGGGTTACAAACTTTGGGCCCTAATCATGTAAACTGGTTTATCTTGAATCACTTGGGATGGGAAATTTTGTTTGTAGATACTTAGCTAGTAATTTCTCATTAAGTAACCGAAACCTACTTTTTACTTATTTGATTGGCATGATGGTTTTGTGATATTTCAGAAATATTTTTTTTGGAAGCTGTAAAAGAATCTCTTGATTTCTGGGTCATGGGTTGAAAAGCTTTACCAAACCATGAATTGTGGAGACAAGTCACAACCCCCACAGCCTTCTCCCTCTCCTTGCTGGGAGAGTGTAGAAATTATGCAGTAGCTCAGAACATGAGTATAGCCTTATGGTTTTTAACAAAATGATGCCTCAGCTTCTGAACATCTTCCATGGTTCAGAAGATGTGTGTGATCATCACATTGTGCCTAAAATCCTGTTCCGGTGCTATGATGATTCCGGTGCAGGATAATTCTACCAGAAAATTCAGGAATACGTCATGGATATTTCTTCTTTTCCTAAAGTTTTTTGCAATTCTTTTTCTTCCTTGGGAGGTATTTTATAATGGTAACATAAATATTAACCAGTTAATTAAGCCAGATGTATACTTAGCGGTTTTCAAACCCCAGTGACATGCCTGAGAATCGGCCCATAAAGACGGAGAAAACTGCCAGGCCGTGGTGTCACAGGCCTTTAATCCCAGCACTTGGGAGACAGAGCAGGTGGATCTCTGAGTTTGAGGTCAGCCTGGTCTACAGAAGGAGTTCCAGGACAGCCAGGGCTACACAGGAAATCCCTGTCTTGAACCCTGCCCCCCAAAAAAGATGGAGAAAAATCAAAAGATCGTTATAGTAGCACACAAGAGGGAACACAAAGCAAGCCTTGACTGAGTCTCTGGCTTTATTCATCAGGCACAGAGTTGCTCATTTTAATTGGCCCATGTACAGATAACACTTACAAAAGCACCTAGAACTTGGAAGCACAACTCCTGGCGTTCCATTTTTAATGCTTGTGATGTTGTGTTACTGCTGCATTTAAAAGCTGCAGTACAGTGAAGACATGTATTGCTGTGCTTTCATGATAGGTTCTCTCCCTCAGTAACTTACATGCGAAGACGCATAGGAAGAAGGGAAGAGGAGCATGAACTAATGGGCATACTTTAGAGTCCATTCTGTGTGAAGAGTGAGTGATTCTCACAGTGGAAGAGTAAACACTGCTTATTCTCATTGGTGCACAGAAGGCAGAGACCACCAACTACTTAAGATCCACCTGACACACAGTTTACAGATTCCCATCCTTCCAGCCTGTTCTCAAGTTTCTAACTTGGAATAGACTTCTCACCTTAACATAGCTAAACATAAGCTGAGATATTTTTAAACTAGAAAAGAAGTATTTCCACCTCATATATACAGATATAAAGTGTAGCCAGATGCTTTTCTGCGTCCAACCTGGTCCCACAGCTGCTTATAAAATAATTGTTCAGAGGCTTGATATTAATTACAAACTGGCCTATTGCTCAGGCTGATTACTAACTAGCTCTTACAACTTAAATTAACCCATTTCTGTTAATCTTAAGTATTGCCTATGTGGCTGTGGCATTACTGGTCTGCAGGCATGTTGCTCCTTCTGCAGCTGAATGGCATCTGCCAGACTCCACCCTTCTTCTCCACGCCTACCTCTATCTTATCTTGCCATAGACCAAAGTTGCTTTATTTATTAACCAGGGGGAACAACATATACTCACAGAGTACGGAAAGACATCTCACATCAATAAAGTCCAAAAATTATAATCCTAATTCAACTGTTAACTGAACTGAAAATAAAAAAATAATTAAAAATTTTTAATATAAAATAAGGAAAACTTGCCTATACCTCCCTGTAGAAATCATTTATGATTTACCTTTAGATATACTTTGGTGCTTTTCTGACATGAAGGTAAGGTGGGAGTGATGGGTAGTAATCCATAAAATTACTGTTAAAATTTGTTGAAGTTTGCAGAACCTTCATTAGCCAAGCATCATCAGTAACGAAAGCTATCTTTAAAAAGGGGAAGGGTGGGGGCTAGATTGAAACTTTAAGTATGTTGTGTTCATAAGTGACACTACCCATTTCTGCCCCTGGTTCACTGGACTCAAAGGCTTTCAGAAAATTGTTAATCATCATGGGCCAGCCACCAATTTCTAGTCTTTCTGAAAAACCCAGCATGGGAAGAGGGTCAAACCCAAAGGAGTAACTGGCTAGATGAGGCTAAACCAGATAGCTGAAGACTAGTCCATGGATCTGAGTGTGTAGCTCCAGGACGCCTTGATTGAGCTGAGCCTGTCAGCTTGTCTGTTTGTGACGTGCTAACAGAAGGTCTTCTATTCTAGGACTGTTTCACTGTAATAGTTTCAGTATTCTCCCTATTAAGTTAAATCTGTTTACCTGTTTTCTGCCACAATGTTTTGTCCTTTATTCTTTGTTTTGTTTGCTTTTTTATGCTACAGAATCTAATTCCTGTTTCAATATTTCAATAACAGAGAAGATGTATTGCAAAAATATTCAATGCCATGAAAGCCTTTGGGAAAGCTAAGTATTAGGTGTGTTGGTAGACATATTGTATAGGTAGAATGCATTTCAGATGGGATAGTTTTATGCTTCTGTGTACATTTTATGTGCACAAGGCTTATTCTAGTCAAACAAATTAAAAAAAATGATTAACTGTAAACAACTAGTCCATTCTAACAGGCCCTCAGACTCACGCTTTTGTATATTTTCATAAGACTGACTTAAGTGAGCATCAGTCATAATGCTCTGCTTTTTCTCTCGGGAAATTTTTACATAAAATGTGTGTCTATCAAATGCTAACAAAAGAGTTTTGCCTCGGAAGACTTTTAATGTTCTCATCTAAGGAGAACAAAAGGCTTTTCTGAAATGATCTTAATTTTTTTCTTTTGTCTTTGTTGAAATAAACTGATGCATCTCAAATCAACCTAGCCTTGATGGCTAGATAGACCATCTCCCTCATATTTCCCCCAAGGAGTTGATCTTCATTAACAACTTCAGCATTGACTTCATGTAAAATTCCACAAAAGACTTTAAAATGTAAACTTATGTTGACTGAAGTTTCTTTAATATATTTGAAACTTTATGGTGATTCACTTCAATTTAGAAAGATTCATTTGGCTAAAGTCACATTTAATTCTTTTGTTTCACATACATGCAGTTGTATGTGCATGTATATGTATGTATGTGTGTGTTTATATGCCTAAATAGAAATTCTACATAAATGAGAATTATGCATATAATGCACAAATAGGAATATATATGTAAAATGAAGGTGATAGCTTCAAGATAAATTGATAATCCTGTTATTTTATGTTACTGGTACAGAAATTAACCTGTAATTATTATATTTTTGGTATATTTGAACATCTGCCCATTATCTTAATTTCTCTTTATCAATTCCTCTTGGGAGTCCTGAAATTAGAATCCTTTCTTTGCTACCTAAACCCCAGAGACTATGAGTTCCTGACTCACTGAGACCATCTGGTCCTAGTTATGTGTGCAATTTATATCATTCAAAAGGTGAGGATTGTTACAGGGCACTAAAGTGTGTCATTTCAGATCAGCATAGATACCATCAGAGCTGGAGTGTGTTTCCTTTGGATGTGCTCTGAGACCCAGTGTGAGAGTGAGGTTTACAGGCAGGGCTTTAACAGATTGGAGAACTAAGTAAGCATCGAGGCCACTCATCTACAGCAGAGAAGTAGGTTCTAATGGAATGGCCCATGGTATTTCAGAGATCTGCGACAACTTAGGGTATATTAAAGGAATTTGGGCAAGAGATTCTTTGTTTCCTGAATTTATGTGGTTGCCATGAACTCTATACTGCCGAAGCTGTTATGAAATAATTTGATGAGAAGAATGGCTTCAATCTAGTCTTTCTCATGAGCACACATAAATGAATGAGTTGAGTGATATTTAAAAGTCCACAGAAGAGTTACATGCAGAAAATATCAGTTTAAAAGCCAAACTGTTTCCTTCTACGTTAAGGCCATGTTTCTATAAGTCAACAATGCAAACATTTGAATTTATGGTCAGTAACCCAACAAGAAGTGGAAGAGAAAATAAGGTAAGTATAATGACTACTAGATCACAATTTCTGTAATGACAGAGCCGTCGTCACCCAGAGTGTAACCAAAAGTAATACAGAAGATGCTCCTTCGTATTTATTGATACTTTGAGATGGGTAAATGACTCACTAGAGAGACATGACTATGATGTAGTAGGCCGAAACATTTTTTTGTGCATATAGTAAGATGATTCAAGCCACAATATATAGAAGATAACATGGTAATCTTACATGTTACTTGACGATAACTGAATAGTATAGTTTTCAGAAGTCAGTTACCTATAACTTAGAAACTTTGTACACTTCAGCCCCAACAGTGCAGGTACAGGATAAGCATAAAAATGGCAATACAGAAGGGTATATACTAAAGATTTATTTTGTTTTCTTACCTGTGTGTATGTGTGTGTGAGACTATGTGTGCAGATACCCCCAGAGGCCAAGAGTGTTAGATCCACTGGAACCAGAGTCTCAGGCAGTTGTGAACTGCCCAGTGTGAATGCTAGTATCAGAACTCGAGTCCTCTGAACAAGCAGCAAGTGCTCTTAACAGTTGAGACATCTGGACCCTAAAGTTAATTCTCAAGGTAGTGATTACAAGCCACTTAATTCATAGTTTAATAAACGATTGTCTTCAGTTTGTACTCTCCTGGGAGGAGTGAACGGAGGAATTGGAGTGAATATAACAAAACTACATTGTATGAAATTCTCAAAGAACTCATGAAAATAGTTATTAAAAAGCAATCCACATTTCTAGCTGTACCATCACCACATACAGGGCGTTTTATAACTTTCTACAGTGCCTATGTACGCGTACTTTTAAAATTATCTTGGTTCTTATGTCACATATGAAAAATCCTGGGGATTCAGCCTCAGTCCCAGAGCTGCCTCAAGCTACCTAGAAGAGAAGTTGCTGCAAACGGGATTCTGTTCCATGCTGGCTCCGCTACAGGAACAACTTGATGTGTTGACTTGACTTTGCATGTTTCAGTTCAGCACCACACATCATCTTAGCACTGTCCACCCCCTTCCCAACTCACATCTCACTTAAGCTGATAAACATGTACCTCTCTCTGAACTGCAGGCATACACATGGAGGCTCCTCGCCCAGGAACACATTTGCCAGCTGGGTATGCCCCTCAGTATCCACCAGCAGCATTCCAAGGTAAAATACTTGTTGCAGAAAGAAAAAAATAGCACTAACCAATTGATGTTCCCAAGAGAGAAAGAGGTGATGACTACGTCTTTATTTTAGTAACTGTTGTTCTTAAAATTCCATTGAAGAAATGTTAGTTTTTGTTTTGTTTTAGACTATACATGCTTTTGAAATAAATACTTTTTATTTATAAAGGACAGTAAACGTTATGAAGAACTAATGCAATACACAAATTTATATTTACTCATGAAATATAATATTGTTAATAAATTAAATATTGATACAGATAGTAAGTAAATGTTTTGTTGAATGTTTTTGCTGAAAATTGCTTCATGTGATGATATTTAGGAGATTTAACGGGTGTTTTTGAACCATGAAGTATTTAGAATTAATTGTACTCAATGAAAAATAACAGAAACATAAAACTGGAAACTGCTTACCACAGAAATGCTACCATTTCATAGAACCCTCATTTTCATGTTGTAGCGCATACGAAGGCTTTACTCCTTTATACATACTGTCCCCTTCTTCAGTCACACATAATATATACTAGATGTTCATTTATCTTTTCAAAAAGTAAACTATTTCAGAGACCTGGGAAATGCAATTGTCAGCATTACTGGACTTTCGTAAATGCCAGTGCTGATGGTGTACCCAGCTTTTCCAGTCGCAGGCTATCCAGATCCTCAGTGAGCACACTGGGGATTAATATCAAAGGTGTTCTGGTTGAGCAGAAGGGTACATGCGCTTCGTTTTCTTTTCTGAGTAAACAGATTGGCTTGGGAGTTGAATGGCCTGTGTAATTGTCTTAGAAAATTCCCTGTGGGTCTTGGGTCTTATCCAGATGTTTGCAATTAAAGGAATAGGAGCTGGCTAAGCTCCAGAGCTCTAAGGCAGCACTTCACAACCATGGCTGTCATTAATTTTCATTTAAAAATACTAATACAGAGAACATTCACAGGGCAATTAAACCACACCTCTAAACAATGGCTGGTAATTTCCAAAAAGCCAGGTGGTTCTAATGTGAGGAGGCCTAGGTGGAAAACGTCTGTTCTCATAGACACAGTGCTTGGAAAATTCCTAGATTATCCATAATTTAACCTAGGCGCCCACAGAACAGTTTAATTAACCTTATAGCTAATTGAAAGTAGGCATACATGTTAATTCAGTCAGTATCAGTCATGGAGTATACTAGAAAAGGTAGCTTGGTTTAGGAAAGACGAAAAACCTGTTCTTCTACCCAAAAAGCTGAGAACTGGAAATGATTAACTGCCTTGTGATCTCTTGGGCCAGGCCATATCAAGCTCATACAACCAGGACAGGAGGTGACTAATAATCTAAATGACCCTTATAGCCAGAGTCTTCCCCCAGACTCCCGCAATCAGGACCAGAAGTGACTAATAGCCCAGATGACCTCTAAGCTATCTGTTTGACCAAGACTAGGCCAGTCCCTCCGTAGGCCCTTAAGCTAGTAGTACATGCAATATATCTCTAGAAACCATCTTCTTGGAAGAACCACCAACTTCCTGTGTTGAGTTTCAAAGTAATTATGCTTCCTTGTGCAATGGGGGTTGTATTACACCAGGAAACTATTTCCAAATTGTACTGTGTAGATGGATTTTTCTTTGGGCCACCAGCTTACAAATAATGACCTAGGAGATTTACTGTTAACTATAAAAGCTCTGCCTTAGCTTATGTTTTTTTCCTACCTAGTTCTCATACCTTAACCCATATTTTTTAATCTAGGTTTCGTCAAGGGGCTTGATACTACCCGAAATTCCCATCTACCTCTCCTGCCTCGCTATCAGTCGTTCAGCTGTTTATAACACCAGTCACAGCAATACATCTTCACGAGTGTACAGATATCTCAAAAACAATACTGGGCTTAAATACACTGGAAATAAACCACCTGTTATTAGACTCCTGGAAGTCTGATGCAGGTTGATGAAGTCAATATGCACTAGGTTACCATTCTTATCTCTTTGGCATGGTTTGTGTCCCTGTGTGACAGCTGCAGGGACCCTCTCAGTCCTCCTGAAACAAACAGCAATAAAGGTCATGAATGGGGGATAGAGATTTATGTACTTCTGTTAAATTAATGCATTCAATAAAAAAAAAAACATAGTTTTAGAGGTCCCTCCAAAAATTAAAATGGAACTATCACATAAAGGAATCTGTCAGCATACCACAGGTAAACATTTATCCATTCTTATCATTATACCACTTGTAATAGCCAAAGCATGGTGTCACCCTAGATGCTTATCAACAGATGAATGAAGAACATGCACACACACACATACAGGTTTTATTCAGTCTGAAAGAGGAGTGAAATGTCATTTGTAGAAGATGGATGAAACTACACAGCACCATATTAAGAGATACAAACCAGGCTGGGTGTGGTGGTGCACACCTGTAATCCCAGCACTTGGGAGGCAGAGACAGATGATGGATCTCTGTGAGTTTGGCCTACATAGCAAGTTAAAGACCTGCCAGCCAAGGCAGTACAGTAAAACCATCTAAAAAAATAAATAGGAAAAAAACCGAAACAAAACAATAACAACAACAACAACAATAACAACAACAAAAAGCCATAGAGAAAGAGAGAGAGAGAGAGAGAGAGAGAGAGAGAGAAGCCAAATTTCCAAAAACAGATATCCCTTTTTATTTTATTTTATTATTTTTGTGTGTGGATTCTAGATTTAAAAACATGTCTGTATAAGATCAAAAGCAGACTCAGCTACTTGGGCCACTAGTCAGAACCCAGTGGGAAGATAGAGGGTGATACACAAGAGGGTGATGGAAGATGAATTATGAGCTAAGGCGGTGATACGATATGTTAATGTCACCATGCAAGGTGTTACTTTGTCTGCTAATTTAGTTTTTAAATTGTTGTGATCTTCATTCTTACTCTAAACTGTGTCTGTGCATGCATGCATGTGTGTGTTTGTGCACATGGATGGTGCATAAGTAGGATCTATAAAGAGAGAAAGCATATTGTAGTTCATTTCAGAGGTCAGATTAAAAAAAAGTCGTCTAAAATCCAATAACCAGATAGAAAATCAGTTTGATCCAGAGTCACTCCGTGGTGACAGAAACACCAGTGCATCTGGCTTGGGTCTCATTATGTGCTGATGTCTAGATTCATACATCTTCCTACAAATAATTTCATGCTTTTTTATGACTGAATAAACCATTATTCGTAACCATATTTAGATTCATAATATCTGTAGCTATGTCCTATCTATACTTGTGTGTGTGTGTTAAATTTTCTTCATCATCTATTGGTAGGCTGATTGTACATCTTGGCTTATATGAATAGTACAACAATAAACTTGGTTATTTATTCTTCATACCTATAATTAGAAGCGAGTGTAAACCACAGACACTTCATTGAAAAGTCTTCAACATTGAGTGAAGAGGTTACAGAATACTTTTCCATAAACTGATACCTTTTCTCTATGAAGTTGCAAATTTTTTTGCTCTTATTTCAGGACTTCCCGAACATACTGGACGCCCCACACTCCAAACTGACTACCAAAGTCTCCAGTCTGGTTACCCAGGGCCTCGGGCTGGCCATACAGTCTTAACAGCTGGCAGTGAAGGTTATAATGCAACCCGGCTTCCTACTCAAAATAACCAGACTATCGTCCTTGTTAATACCCAGTGGATGCCAGCACCACCACCTCTTCATAACTGCCCACCTGGGCTAGAATACTTAAGTCAGGTAAATCCAGACCCTCAGAACTCACAAAAGACAAAACTATATTTCTGTTTCTAACTGACTTGGGCAACAAATGAATAATTCACCAAAGCATAACATTTTCCTCTGTGTCTTCTGGTTACTCATAATTCCCCTAGAGGAAGTTCACTTGCTAAGTGAAATATGAGATAATTGTATTTTATTTTCCTGTGAGTTCAGCCTATGATAATAGCCAACAGGAAGTATTTATTGTACATTATTCTAGTCACTGTCCCAAGTACAGTCCTCACAGAAAATATGTGATGCGTGCACAAGATAATTATCACTGTTTTTTGGAAGTGGCAACTGGTATCAAAAGATGTTAACTGCTTTGTTGAGGCTCAGAAACCAAGGAACAGTCATTGTGATTACTTTTTAAATGTGGGCTTTGGTAATGAGCACAAAAGCCTTTTACCCCAAGACTGACTTACAGCCTTGGAATTTGAGAAAAGAATATTTAAAAAAAAATTTATTATTATCTTTAGGTGATACCTAAAAAAGAGCAATTTTTAATTTTTTTCTTTGTTTCTGTTGTTGATGGGTTTTTTTTTTTTGTTGTTTGTTTGTTTTTGTTTTTGTTTTTTGAGACAGGGTTTCTCTGTGTAGCCCTGGCTGTCCTGGAACCCACTCTGTAGACCAGGTTGGTCTTGAATATGAGATCTGTCCTCTACCTCCCAAGTGCTAGGTTTAAAGGTATGCACCACCACTGCCCAGAAAAAGTAATTTTTTTTCATATATGTAGCTTTATAGACTAAAAGGCTGCCTTTATTCTTTAGAAAATTCAATATTGCAAATGTCTCCAGTGAGGGAAGAAAGTCTGGGTTTTGCTGAACTATAGTTCAGTGATGATGAGCTTTAGCAAAAATATGAAGTGTGAAAAGTCAGTGAGGTAAAAGGTCTGTGAAGTTCACCCAGTCTATGAACACAGCCAGAGGGCCCTGTCATAGCCAAGCCATCTCCAGTCTGTCTGGCACACATGGTACCAACATGTCCTGTGTGTGTTCAAATGTCAGACTTGGAAATGTTCAGTCATTGTGAATGCTCAGCCATCAAGGGGACATCGTTATCAATTGACACACACACACACACACACACACACACGGCTAGGGAAATTGCAGAGAAGGAGACAGAGATAATGTAGAAGTAGGAGAATAAGGAAGGGTGCTGTGGAATGCTGTCTTTTGGATGTGGTATGAATATTGAACTCATGAACTCACAGCAGCTGTGTTTACCTACAAAGACCTGAACGAGATGAGCCAAGCAGAATTCCTCCACTGAAGCTGGAAGGGATCCTGAGTCCTCATCCCTAACTGAGGAGCTCTGGACACTTGATAGCTGCTGGAGAAGGAAACTCGCTCTTCTTTGGGTGTGATCACTGGTAGACTTCCCATCCTCCAGTGGATGCCTCCGCACCTATGTACACATGGGCAACACTAATTGGACTAAGTGGATTATTTAAATAGAGGAAAGAAGAGAAATTTTCAGTCCTAATTGTGATCTTTAAAAAAAAAATAGACATAATTTAATCAAGGCAAATAAATATTGAGGAAAATTATCATTTACAATTGATAGCTTCCTATAAGAAAATTATTTGAATAGATAAATAAATTCTCAATCTCATCTTCTGGCAAGAACATTATTTTGTAATTTATGGGAATTCCATTATAAATCAGCTTTATTTGACTTACAAATTCTTGCTTTTGAAATGAACAATTTAAACAAACGGGTACGGGTCTGGAGAAACGGCTCAGAAATTAAGGGCAGTTCCCAGTCTTGCAGAGGACCCAGGTTTGATTCCCAGCATGCACATGGCCACTTAGAACCATCTTCAGCTCCAGTTCCAATGAGTCTGTCTCCCACTTCTGGTCTTTGCGAGTACTGCATACAAGGAACACATACATGTAGGCAAAACATTCATACACATAAAAATAAATATATCTTTAAAAATATTTGTGTTAAAATATAAAAATTTAATGCTATACAAAATAGAATGCAGAGTGTGAACTGTTGCTCCTTCTAAGAATTGATTGATGACTCCATGCACATTCTCTTTTCCGGAACAGATAGATCAGATTCTGATTCACCAGCAAACAGAACTTCTGGAAGGTGTGTATCCGTTGTATTGATGGTATTTCTAGAAACAGAAACCATTTATACGGTTATGGGCCTGCCAGTTGCCTCTCCTACAGCACTCTTTTGTGGAAGGTTCAGCTAGGACGCTACAGACATCTCTCTTCACTGTAAAGAAATTATGAATGTCATCTCCTGTCCACTTCTGAGAAGTAGGAGTCGGGTGATCAAAATGTCCTGTGCTAGACATGTGTTCCCATGAGATCTCACTGTGTTAGAAAGGAAATAATCGACACTTGTGCTCTTTCTCTGCTTGCACTAAGCTAGCCTCGCCCTTCACCTGACTCCTAGCACTTAGCCGCTCTCTGCCAGTGTGTGACCAACTTGAGGCTTGAGCAGAACCTCAGGCAATGGTTTGGTTCCCAGAGTGAATGGTCCTTAGGAATTGGAACAGCGATGATCCTTTGTAAAGTCTTTGTTAGTAACCCCAGCTTCTGCTGGACATACAGAGGAGGTCTGTAGAATCTGTATATTGTGGGCCGTGAATTTCTAGCTGAGGTGCAACATGTTTGGTGTCGGAGGGACTGAGCACAGCCCTCCCAAGGCTGCTCCTCCCAGAACGCTCCTGGGCTGAGGGGGCAGAGGGAGTGCTTCCAGATGCTTCCTTGGGTCCAGTGCCCCATGCAAAAATAACTTAAGATACAGCTAGGTGCATCACCACACCTACCAGAAGGCATCCAGGAAAGATATATGAATGAGTGTCCTCTTCTAGCTAGTGGGGCATTTTGAAAAGTTGGCTGGGATCTAGAAAACACCTGTGCAGGAGGGCCAGCCCCAGCGATTCACAGGTCCCGAGAAGAGGCAAGGTGTCACAAGGAAAGAAGTGAGTCAGGCACGATGATGGGGAGAGTATTGCAGACTAACTGGCAATCAAGTTGCTTCTTTATTTATACGGATTCATTAGAAAAAGACAGACTCACGATTTTTCAAAGGATATAGATTACATCATTTTATCTCCAGACATTTGTTTGATTTTCTATAACATGTCCAGGGTCATAGGGTCAGTTATAATTAAATAAGTACAGATAGAACTGATTTTGCTTTTATCATAGTCCCATGGCCCCTTTTCAAAGAACCTATAGACTATTTTTGGTAGGGCCAGCATACTTAATATATAACAGCCAGTTTTCATGGCCTGATGTCCTGTTCAGATTCACTTCTAGCTTCACTGTCCATTTTCACATCTGTGCTTTTAGAAAAATCCTCCTCATTGCTTTTGCTCTAATAATGGGGAAAGGTATATATGTTGATCAATAGTTTGAGGTATATGTGTGTGTATGTGTATGTCCATACACACATACACACACAGACTATAAACATAGTCACTCCATAAGCACCAAAGCAAAACTCTGCCAGATGAGAAGACTGGGCATTTATCTACATACCTAGCCCCTCCTTCTCCCTCAGCACTCCACCACCACAGACACTGAAGCCCCCTTATGATAGTCCATGGAGGTGGAGATGGAGCTTGCTCCCTTAGGAAGTCTCATATATGGACAATGTCTTTCCTTCTTACCTTAATCTTCTCCTTTCCCATTGCCATGTCCTGAGTCCAGATCATCTCTGCACTGCTTGTCTCCCGTTTCCCACTGTTCCCTGCAGCCTCAGGCACACCTTCCCACTGCTACCTTAGGAGAGAGTCACTGTCCCTAGCAAAGTGGTGAATGTGGTTTCCCCTGTGTGTTTTCAGTCTTAACAGGCTTTGAAACAAATAATAAGTTTGAAATCAAGAACAGCCTTGGGCAGATGGTTTACCTAGCTGTGGAAGATACTGACTGCTGTACTCGAAACTGCTGTGAAGCAGCAAGACCTTTCACCTTGAGGATCCTGGATAATCTGGGCCGAGAAGTCATGACTCTGGAGAGACCCCTGAGATGTAGTAGCTGTTGCTTCCCCTGCTGCCTCCAGGAGGTCAGTGTGAAGTTCCCACAGCAGCCGAGGAGTGCAACAGGAGTTTTCAAGCATGCATTAAACCTGGACTGTGTGGCTCTGGTTATATTCAACATGCACTCTTCTTGGTTTTGTAGATAGAAATCCAAGCTCCTCCTGGTGTGCCGGTCGGTTATGTGACTCAGACCTGGCACCCTTGTCTGCCCAAGTTGACTCTTCAAAACGAGAAGAAGCAGGATGTTCTAAAAGTTGTTGGTCCGTGTGTGGCATGCACCTGCTGTACAGACATTGACTTTGAGGTAAGAAGTATCATAGTGTTCATAGGATGTGCTTTCCTGACATGAAAAGAATATATTCCTACAGGATGTTCCCAATGCATTACTTAAATAGTGTGAGTTGATGTGTGTCCATCCAATTAATGGTCATTTAATTCTTCATAGTAAAGGTCATTACTCTGATTAAAGGTTAATGTGGAGTATCCTCAGTGTCATGCAAACACAGGTCAATTCAGATAAATAAGAAGGAAAAGAAAACATTCCAGCATTTAAAAAATTCTATAGCTTTTGCTAGTGATTTACTGAATGGCTAGACTCTTGACTGTGTAAATATGAGGCCCTGGACCTGGATCCCAGCACCCACAGGAAAACCTTAGTGTGCAAGTATCCACCTCTACTCCCAATTCAGGTGTGTGTGAGGGGGAGGCTTCCTAAGGCTTGCTGGCCAGCCAGTCCAGCTCAATAGGAAAAAGTCTGTCTCAGCAAGAGACACCTGGTCTCAATAAGGTGGGCAGTGATAAAAGACACCTAACTTTGACCTCTGACCTCTGTACTCACCTTGTCATACATACCATGCCCACCATGCACAAACATGAATACATTAATACACACACACACACACACACACACACAGAGAGAGAGAGAGAGAGAGAGAGAGAGAGAGAGAGAGAGAGAGAGAGAGAGACTCTTCCTTCTGTTAAGACAGTATTACTCATTTTAAATCTAAGAGTAACCAAGACACTTAGGGCATTTCCAGGGCCCTTCTTTCTTCCCTCAGTCTGCATTATAAACCTCACCAGCTCTTGGGAAGGGACACAAATTTTGTCACTTGGAACTCCTGTCAAAACCCCACTGATGTAATGAAGCTTCAGTGTGGTGAGTGGAAGCCATGATCTTTTCTCTGTGTTTCATTTTCCAAATTTTCCATGACCCAGAATGAACTACGGCTTGAAAATCTGGAATAGAAAATTCCTGAAATAAACAGGACTTAAGCTGTAAATTACACACCCTCTTCCCAGTAGTATGAACTAACCTCAGGCTGTCCTGTTCCATCCTGCCTGGATGTGAGTCATCTTCCTGCACACTCTCCCAAAGGTCCTTCCCGGCAGCCTCGGCGGGGCCAGTCACGAAGCCTCCTCCTGTGCTTCCTCAGTGCAGAGGTCCAGCACTCTTCAGTCAGTAGCCTAAGCCGCCACGTGACCTCTGCAGCCACATGACCTCTACAGATGTCATCTCACCACCCGGCACTGTTCAACTCCCTTCCTCAAGAAATAATAGAAAAGAAGACCTTTTTAGGGACATAACCCATTCCCATAATGTTTTTCATAGATTATTATCTTTTTTATGTTTCACTAATAGGTTTTTTTTTTAACAGCTCAGTTCTCCCAACTCACAAAATAAGCTCTATAACAGAAATACAATAATAGGAAAGAGTTTCACATACCTAGAGCTCAGTAGCATCTGTAGGCTTCCAGCAGGATCTTGGCCCATGCAGCTCTTTCTCTTTCTCTCTCTATATATATTGCACAGTTCTTCTCTGGGCTCTGATAAACCCTTGCAGGAAATTAGGCCATTGGAATTTGAATATGTCTGACATTACAACAAATGTCCTAGCCAGGCTCGTTGCTCTATTTTTACTGGCAAGCATTTAAAGATGGGGAATTTGTTAACTTTAAAATCCATGTATTTTTCTTGGAAAATCAAAATGAGGAGAAACTGGACTCAATTTCCACACAGAGGAAGGAGTCTCCAAAGCTGAGTAAAGCTGTCACTTTGTGGAAACTCCTGGAACCCCAACCCCAGAGCTCTCAAAGGTTTCTGCTTTCCAGGTTCATTCAATTTTTACAGAGCTTCCTGCATTCATATGGACTCAATTACTCTGAGAATCTGGGTGTGTTAAGGTGGATTTCTCCTCTTACAGGATGTATGTCTAAGGACAGAGCTGAGAGTTTTAAGAAAATACCTGTAACAGAAAAATGTGTCTGTGATATATGTGTATAAAAACACTTATGAACATTTGTAATGATAATTATTCATACAGAACATTATGCTTGTGTGAGGGTCAGAGAAGGTAGTAAGTATTTAGTTAGAACATATGATAGATTTATTTTCTTTTTTTAATCAAGTAATGCTATTAAGGGAAATTTTGCTGTCATGTGCTTTAAAAAAACTGAAGTTTTGTGATATTCTTAATGATCATGGATGCCTTCAATTACCCATTGCCTTAAATGAGTTACTTTCCTTATGACAGATTTAGAATGATGATATCTATGTTTTGTCTTTGACAGAACTTAGAAAGGCCCATTTGTTCTATTTCCTATAGAGTTAGTGATGGCAATGTTCATGTCTTAAAAATGGGAAATGTTCTTATGAGCCACTAACAATGACTTTAGAACTGTGAGTAGAGCAATAACAGTTATTGTTATGCCAGTTCATTAATTCAGAGATGAAATTGTCTTGTTCAGGTGTCTTGTTTAAAATGCTACCTGGGCTCTGGGGGTGTGGCTTAGCAGCCCAAGGCACTCGCTACCAAGTCTGATAATCTGAGTTCTACCACTAGCCCTGCTAGAAGAAAAATGACTTCCCCAAGTTGGTCTCAGACTCCTCCACCTATGCTAGGTGTGCAGGTACACACACACACACACACACTCTTTTTAAAAAAAATTCTTAAATGTCGCTAAAATTCCTTTTGTTCTGGTTACTTTTGACTGTAATTTACAATTCACGTTTCTGATCATCCCTCCAGCAAAACTATATATACATCTGAAAATAAATTCAGTTAATTTTAAGGTACTGCTTTGTAAAACACTGGTAAATAGTTAAATGTTGATCTTTAGTTTTGGGTTTATGATGCTGACAAATTGCCACTTATCTTCCGTCATATAATTCAGACTTCAAACATGTATATGATATGAGGTTTTATGACTGACTATAAATGCTTAAATTAAATCAATTAAATTAAAAACAGCTATTGCAATAAAATACTAAAATACTGCAAAAGAGGATTTGTTTTAAGCCAGCTCATCATAATGTCATATCTGATACAACTATAATGGCTCATGACTTTAAATCAAGGTCACTGTGTTCACGTCATGGCCTTTTAGGTCAGCTGAGTATCTGTGCATTGATGGAAGCTCATGTAGATGGCGCTAACTTGGTCCAGGAGGTGACCTCCCATCTGCTCAAGGAAAGTGTGTCCTAGGGCTGTACCCACAGCAGCTCAGTGAGTGATACTGCTCACTGGATGCCCATGAGGGCAAGCCAGTTAGCCATGGTGAACACTGAAGTCATCTGCCATACCCTGTCATCAAATTAGACTTAATGACAAAACCTAATTTTCACAGACCACAAAGTGTGGATGTGGAGTAAAGGTACCATTCTACAAGTAATAATTTGTGTCTTCATTCATATTAGAAGTAAATCACATTTAAGGTACCACCTCCCTCCAGCCACCCCAAGATGTTGACTATCTCTGAATGTCCTCATGTGTACTTGGTGGATCCTGTCTGAGGCCAGGGCTTTAAAGGATTCTGTTCCCTTCTTTGATGCCTTTTGCATGTTTGGAAAGGACATACCTCCTCCTCATTTGGCTCATGCCTTTGTATACATACTTTGGTGAGCATCCACATGCCCTCTATGGAATAGCTTTAGTTAGTGTCCTACCTACTCTACTGCAAAATGGGGCCTTGGGCTTTCCTCCCACAGAGCCCCAAATCAGAACCTTTTCCACACTGGAAATCTGATTTCACATGCTTCTCTTCTTGTACTTTTTACTCAGCACTTGTTATCAAGTCCTACCTCATCTCTGCCCCGGAAGCCTTCCATGGAGCTTCTTGTTGGTCCCTTCCACTCACCAACTGGTCTTTAAGTGTTTCTTGACTTTTTGCACTTCATGCCCCACACTGCCCATTGCCCCCTCGGTAGCAATGAGCCTCTGCCACATTTATTTACACATGTGTGAAAGCTGTGCTTCTCAAAGCAGATAATCTAACAAGAGTTTCATCTTTTGTCTTTTCAATAGCCTCTAGAAATTTAAGAAGAGAAATATTTTTGAACATATTTTAAATAAAATATTTGCCCAGCTTTACTCCAGTTTTGAAAGTCGGCTTGCCATACGCCTTCTACAAACCCTTACGCTTTTCTTTTCATATGTAGATCAAGTCTCTTGATGAGCAGTCTAGAATTGGCAAGATCTCCAAGCAGTGGTCTGGGTGTGTGAGAGAGACCTTCACAGATTCAGATAACTTTGGGATCCAGTTCCCCCTAGACCTTGACGTGAAGATGAAGGCTGTGACACTCGGGGCGTGTTTCCTCTTAGTAAGTCTGTTCCTGCTAATCCTTGGTAGAAATTGTTCCATAGTGATTGGGCAGATTGTGTGTCCCAAAGTGACATTATTACACTAAGGGGTGTTATACAAGGTTCTGCTTTATTATAGCTCTTTAATTGCATGTAATCCTGAAATTCGGATATGGATGACTGTTTTCTCTCTGAGGAATCTATACCTTGTCACAAGGCAAGACACAAATTTTATTATTCAGAGTTTCTTGTTTTTCAGGTTTTATTTTAGTAAAACATAAAATTGGAGATTTGTGTAAGTGTTGAATATGTACTTAATTGGAAAAAGTCTAATTGAAATGTACATGTTCAATCATTAAATTATTAACTAATATATAACTATAAATTATAATAAAGTTATATATGCAGTCATGCCTCTAACTTTCAATTTCTAGAATATTCATGGATTGAAGAGAGAAATTAATTTATACATTACCCAGGTATCCGGACAGTTCAACTAAATCAGACATTCATGATCAGTATTTACATAATACCCTAGGGGATTCCAATATGCAGCCAGTATTGATCATTACTGGAAGAAGGCAATAGTCCTCAGCCTTAACTACACAGTAGAAATACCTAAGAGACTTCAAACTCTCCCTGCCTAGATTACAACTCTACTAAATTCAACTCTGAAGTTTTATCCAGGCTTTTAGTCTAGATAGAGTTCTAGCTGGTTCCATTATGTAGCAAGGTTTGAAACATGAGATATCTTAAGCACTGATTTGGAGAAGCAATCAAGAAAAAGAAAAACAAGACTTGTGCAGCCCTGCAGTCTGTGTTCTTCCACCAAACAGATACAAAGTTAAATAAAGCTAAAATAAAACAGGATGTCACCATAATACCTATTGTGAGTCGTGTTTGGGCATCAATTCAAGAAAAACTATATCAAAAAGACATGAGAATTCAAGTAAATATAAACAGTGACTGGCTATTTGATAGTATGGAGGATTTAGTCTGGTATTTTAATAAAAACAGTTGTCCCCATCTGCATCCCTTCAATATGAACTGGTTTGAGAAAAGATTTTTGCTTTTAAATAGTGTGGACAGGAGAATGGGGTTGTATGATGAAGTAACCGGTAGACATAGCTTACTCATATTAATCATTATTGAAGCCAAATGAGCAGGTGCTGAGGGTTTTTCCACTAATGTTCTTTATTTGCGTTATGCTTGGTTTGTTTGTTGCAAAAAGGTTAAATAAAACCAACATTTTATGTAAACAAAGAGAATGTGTGAAAGTAAATTTGGCTTTAATGTGGGGGAAATATTTTAAATCAGGGTCTGGGCATGTGAAAGAGCCTGCATTTAGGGGAAGCACATAATCTTCAGTTTTTATGGTGACGTGAAACAGGGTTGGAAGGGAATGGCAATTGTTTTCTCCGGAAGAGACTTTATAGATAGAAAAACAGAAAGTTCTGCACATTATGGCAAAGAAGACACCACATGTTCAGGTGTCCCCGCAATGGATAATAAATGAGATGGTAAATATGTGTATTGAGCTTTCTACAATATGAGTGCATATTGAAACACCACCCCATGGTCTGTAAATGCAGGCACATTTTCTATCAATAAAAATGTGTTATTGCTACTGAGTTACTACTGTTGGTGGAATAAAAGAACAGAAAAAGTGGGAAAGAAATAAATTCCATAAGATTTGATAGTTACAGAAAGGAAACAATGGGTTGGTTTAGAGGAGAATTGCTGCTCCTGAGCCAGACAGAAAGCTTGATCTTTATTTCATTCTGCATGAAAAGGCTACATCAACAGAAAGTCTAAAGCTGACCATGGATCTCATGTTAATTAAGACATTGCAATGTTTGAGAGAAACTAGAAGTTAGGGAATGAACAGGAGGTGATGAGCACTGGTGACTCTTCCAGAGGACCTGAGTGTGAATTCCAGCACCACATGACAACTAAGGACCACCTATTAGTCCAGTTCCAGGGGATCTGACGTCCTCTTCAGGCCTCCATGGGCACTGCTTGCACAGACATGTGTAGAGACGCAACACTAATAAACGTAAACTTAAATCATTAACAGAAAAAAAAAGTTACAACTTAGGAAGAAAGATGGAAAGATTTCAAAGGGAATATGAAAAATATTTAGAGAAAGTATGAGGGAGTTAATTAAATTGATACAGACATGGAGAAATAAATACAATTACAGAATCTAATTGCTATTGTATTCAGAAGGGAAAGGTCATGATTCTTTATAGACTTTCCAGCATTTACCCAAACTACATTCAGTTTATCTTGGATGACATTATGTCATTGGGCATTAAGTGCTCTTAGCTTTCAGTATCTGAGAACAGACCATGCTTCGTTTCTGAAAAAACTATTTCTATGTTTTGCTTCTGTCTAGGATTACATGTTTTTTGAAGGCTGTGAGTAGGAACGAAGCCGTCCGTGTGGTGGGGACCAACGAAGAAGACAGAAACGTTGATGTCTCCTCAGTGAGACCATGTATCTGGGAAACTGGTGGCTGTAGTTTTCTGTATTGAAATTTCTCAGAATTAAGCTATAACACATGAGGCATAATGGATACAGTTTTGCTTTCTAAATGACAGTTTATCCTCTACATAATTGGAATAGACATGGGCTTACTTCTTTATACACATCTAAATTATTCACTGAATTAAACATGGGCTTACTTCTTTATACACATCTAAATTATTCACTGAATTAAAGATAAAAATGAAAATGTATATTTAGAAATAAAACATTTTATGGAGATGTAAGTTAAATCATAATCTGATGTATTTCTCATTTTTTGTTCTGTTTAAACCTTGCTAGTGTTAGTTATAAAAGTATACTTGATTTTTATCAAATCTAATTAGTTTATTTCTTACAAAAAATCTGTTATTTTGAAAATATATATTTTGAAAGCTTTTCTAAATGTTACTATTTTGTTGGCTGGGAAATACTACCCAATAAAGTGCAAATAAGAAAAAGTAAGGTATATTTTCTTCTGTCTTTAGGCAATAGCACTAAATGGCCTTTTAAAATTTCTACTATTATAGATTTTAATAGTGAAAAGTCCTTAACTTACCAATTTTAAATACTTTTCAGTGACGTGTTTTTCTGCCAAGAAACACTAACTTTTAGGACTCACTCTTTCTACAACTTTACTATTGGTACACTGTTTGATATTACCGTTTATATTCAATTATTAAGTGAGAACCTATCATGGCTATGGCCAGGGGACAATTTGATCTTGGTTGTCCCTCAACTAAGGTTCAGTCTCCCAGGTCACTCTAGTTTATGTCAAGTTGACAATGAAAACTAACCATGACGTCAGGGTGTTTTACCAAGATTTGGGGCTGTGGCTATGATAAAACTTAACCATGTGCTTCTTAGGTCTTTGGGACTAGGTTGTGGGAAGAATGTGGAAAAGTTTGAAATTTAGGGCTACAAAAATAAAAAAATGCTGTTAGCAAAGCTGAAGTGGCCATTCTGGTGGGTGTTTCAGTGACCAAAAGGCAGTGAAAAATTTGGGCTGTTAAGGCCTAGTTTCATAGGGCAACACGAACACTTAAGAACAGGGCTAAGGCCATTCATGTTCTATTCTGACAAAGAGTCTGGTTTTACTTTGACCATTTTCAGAGAATTTGAATTAACCTGAATTCAAAAGTGATGGCCTGGTTTGTATGGAAGAGGACATTCTAAGGCAGGATGTTATTGAAACTGTTTCTATTGTGATTTCTCACCACAAACATTCAGATTGTTTGTGAGAGAAAGCAATAAGTTCAGTACAAAGAAATAAAAAATATGTCGTTCCACGAGGAAAGGCATATAACCAGACTTAGAGCTGTGAACAACAGAGAGCATTGGCTCCTGGAATCTCACAGTTAACGGAGCAGAAGACCAAAGTCTGCAAACCAGAAGCAACATTTATTCAATAACACTGTGGGGGTGGCGGGGGGGGGGGGGGGGGGGGGAGGGGGGGGGGCGATTCTAGCCAGTCAAGTTTATAGAGAATAATTGGATTCTGTAGCCCCGAGGAAGGGCTACAAGCTCCTTTTTAGAGCACACAGAGCAGAGAGTACATTTTGAGATTTATGGCATTTTGAGAGTCTCAGTGTCTTGACTTGAGCTAGCACTCTCAGGGTACCTCTGAGATAGAGGGGGATCCAGGATTTACTACTTCTGATTATAGGGTTTTAATTTAAAATATTTACATAGTCATGGGTTCATTTAAATTGCCTTTCCCCTGCCTGGGAGAATGTAAGATGAAGGGTCAAAGTGGCTGTCTGCCCTAAAACATTAAAAAATATGCATATAGGCTACAAGTGTACAATTGTTTTTACATATTCCTGGGCTCTTCAAGAACAAATAACAAAGCATCTACAATTGTTGAAGACATTAGCATCATTAACAATAAACACCCTTCCTCTGCACTGGAACTGTAATAAAGGTGACCCAAGGGCAAGATCCCTCCCATCAAAGGCTCCAACTTGTGGAAAATGAAAACTTCAGAAAAGGAGAGCGCCTGAACTGACAATGTAGCTTGGGGGATGGGTGTCTTGTCTTCTCCAAAGCCACTGCCTAAGAAAAAATTTCCAGTGCCAACACACAGAAGCGGATAGAGTTATGGACTCTGAGGAAGGGAAGGGCAGGCTCCAACTTGGAGCCAGACTTTGCAGTGTCATCCATGTGCTAATAGTTTTGAAGGCATGGAAGATAGAAGATTGGAGTGTAATGGAAAACAGCTCAGGCTGACCACTGTGGAACGACGACGGAATATCTGGAAGGGGGGCTTGGTAGGCGTGTCATGAAGCTGAAAATGTTAAGCTAAAGTTACCAGTGGAAAACGCAGAATATTGAAAGTGTCAGGAAAATGGCATGTGTATGGAGAGCTACAGGCCTAGAATGAAGCCAGTCCAGGCTAGATGTGTGGAAGGCAACAGAGCCAGATGAGTAGACCACCCAAGCGCTTTGGAGTCCAGTTTAATTGTACCTTAAGCCCCAGGTGCCAGACATGAAAATTTTAGGATAGGTAATTTATTCTGCTGGATTTTGTTTTGTTTGGTATGATCACTTTAAGAACAGAAAAGTTTACTCTGCCATTTTATGTTGAAAATATGCAACTTACTTTTGGTTTTATGGGAGCTGAAAGTGAGCTTTCAAAGTACTGAAACTATTAATGACTGGGATTTTCAGTGTAATAATGTGTTAGGTATTATAAATGGTTATGAATTTATGGAGATAGGAGGTTGTAGGTTAAGGATTAAATGTCATTTGTTTGCATATCAAGTTGACAAGGGGTACATTTGTGATGGTTTAATGTTAATTGTCAGTGTCACAGAGTTTCGAATCACTTGGGAGATGAGCCTTTAAGCATGCCTACATGGGATTCCCTTGACTATGCTAGTAGATGTCTAAAGACTAGTCTTGACCAAGGCAGGACTATGACCTGGACTATGTAAAATAGAGAAAGTGAGCTGAGCACTAGGAAACATTCATTGCTCTGTTTCTTGTTACATATTCAAGTTAATCTTCAACCTATTTTCCGTGTTTGTGTGATTTTAAATGCCCCTATTTGTGCCAAAAAGTAGTTTAAAAATTTACCTAAGCCAACTAGATCTGGAACACTAATGCTTAATTCTGTTTCTCTACTAAAGAAAATGTGGTTTTAACTGCGGATTATGAGTTTGTATCATTAACATATTGAATTTTTTCTGTCTGGCAGGGCTAGAGAACAAACAGTGGCATATTTGTGAGATAAAATTGTGTTTTGTTATGGTGTGTGTGTACATACTTGAGAATTAGTTGCTAGGAAACATTTCAACTTTAATTACACATTACCAGCAAAACGAGTCATTGGAGGAATAATGCAGAGACATTTCTTCTTACCTGAACTTTACAGAGTAAGTTGGATCCCAATTGATTTCTTATCCTTTCTAGTTCCAACTCTTAGAACAGAATGTATTAGACTATGTGATTTATAAAGACTAGGTACCAATTATATAGCCCCAAGGGACAACATCCCAGTGACAACACTCTACAAGGACCTCTACTTCATGGCATTGCCCTAGTCTGCCCATGTTTCATTTGGAGTCTAAGTGAAAGTAGCCATAACCCATAGTTGTGCACTATATACACCAGCAGATTCAGCACCATGTGAGCATTGTTCATAACTATGTCTATGCCACGTGGAGTGGCATCCCAGGACACCCAGCCTCACGTGAGCCACATGCAGAGCATTCCAAGAGCAGTGTGTCAGAATGTAGGAGCTGAGACCAGCAGCAACAGTGGACAAATAGCCCCAAGTTTTCACATGCATCTCAGGCCCCTCTCTTGGCAATGTTCTGCTCTCATAGGCTTGGTACATTGAATCTTTAACAGAAATGGCAGCATTGGCAGTCTCTGAAGTGAGACTTTCTCCTGCTGTCTTGATGAATAATAGCATGTGACTTTATCAGAGCTGATCAATCTCTGTGCCACACTTTTTTTTACAGGGTGAATAAATTTCTACCCCTTTACGTTATGCCTATCTTTTGATTATACCACCTGTATTTAATACATTTTTCATTTACATACTTTTGTAATAATCCATCCAAGAGAGCCATGCTACACCTCAATACTTTGCTGAGATTTTTTCCCCTCTGTTAAATACTTTAGTGTTGACGGTAAAGGTCTGCCTTTTATGAAGTCATCATACACAAACACTAGTTAGTCCATTTCTTTGTTACTTTGTTAGAAGATGAACTTCTTTCTCGGTTCCAATACCTAGTTCCTCAGTTTTGTTTAAGACAAATGTTCCTTCACTGTTCAATTTTTGCCCAACACAGTGATTATAACCACGAAGAAAATTTCACTGGGCGGTGGCACATGCCTTTAATCCCAGCACTTGGGAGGCAGAGGCAGGCGCATCTCTGTGAATTCGAGGCCAGCCTGGTCGACAAAGTGAGTTCCAGGAAATGCACAAGGCTACACAGAGAAACCCTGTCTCAAAAAAACAAAACAAAACAAAACAAAACAAAACAAAAATTTCACCACAGTTCCCCACTTCTCTTCATTCTTACCAGATCACTGTGCCAACTCACCTACCAGGCAGCTCCAAAAGGACCCTGCAGCAGCACCGACTTTCCCAGTGCAACTGGGAAGGCTAGCTTGAATTGTCACCTTGATAGACGTTCCCAATGAGGAACCGTCTACATTTGGTTAGTCTGTGAAGAAGATTGACTTTTATTGTTATTACTGTTACATCTTTTTTTTTTATTTTTAAAGTTTTCTATAAAATGTATTTTGGTCATATTCTTTACCCCTCCCCAACTCTTCCCAGATCCTCCTCACCACCCCACCCACCCAACTTTTTGTTCTTTCTCTCAAAGAAACGCACAAAGGGGTCAGGACACGTTTTTTTTTGTTGTTGTTATTTGTTTGTTTGTTTTGTTTTGTTTTGTTTTTAAAGAAGAATTGTCTTAATTAGATTAGTTGTTGTGGGAAGACCAAGTCCAATGTGGGTGGCACCATTCCCTTGGCAGAGGATTAGAAAATCTGAGCTGAGCACAGCCAGCAACCAGGTGAGCGTGCATGCATTTACTTCTTCCTGCGTTTGACTATAGATATGGCCAGCTGCTTCAGACTCCTGCTGCTGTAACTCCCCAATAAGGATGGGCTATCTTTGGAACTGCAAGCTG